TGTTTGAAAAGGGATGAAGTTTACCATAATCACGATATGAGATTATACGGAATAAATCTTCCCAAAAAAAGAAACGTTTTCACGATGGGATTTCATTTCCTAATTAGACATAGAATTCAAAGCTGTGTAACAACAAAACATAAAACCTATATATCATTTCCTAATTAGACATAGAATTCAAAGCTGTGTAACAACAAACATAAAACCTGCATTTCATTTCCTAATTAGACATAGAATTCAAAGCTGTGTAACAACAAACATAAAACCTGCATTTCATTTCCTAATTAGACATAGAATTCAAAGCTGTGTAACAACAAAACATAAAACCTATATTTCATTTTGTATTCTTGCTTTACTTTTTTATTGGTTTTGCGATATAACTTGTGATATTTTTATGCAGATATTTTGCCCTGCAAGCTTAAAAAGTACTTCTAATTTACTCATACTATTGAGATTTAAGGATGGGAAAATAATTCTGCATCAGACTGAAACTATAAATCAAAACAAACTATAGTAAACCGGGATGACAATTCTCTAGAAAACGTAATAGGGTTTAACTTTAAGCAGAACACTGTAAAATGAGACCAATCGTATATTTTGTGGCTTTATTGACTGATAGAACAGTCAGAATTGTATACTATGAATGCTAATAATTTCAAGACAGTACTAGCGTCGAATGGTTATATTAATCAAGATGCCGCCCCATAAAAAAATAAAACGTCTTGCGTTAGAGTGATATTTGGACTGAAAGAGTTTTAAGACTTCAAAACTCTATGATGTAAGCGTTTTGCATTAGAGTGGTTTTAAAACTGAAAGTGTTTTAAGATACCAGACTTTATTATGTAAGCGTCTTGGGTTAGAGTGATCTTCGTACTGAACGTATCTTAAGATACAAAACTTTATGACGTAAGCGTCCGTCAGACATTTAGAATGCTGCCCTGTCAATGAGAATAATAGGGAAGAACAAACCTAACAGGTTTACTAAAGACATAAAGAATAAAATTTTGGATAAGAGCAATAAGTTAATGACGTTTAAATTAACAAATAGGGTGGAATATTTAGATAAGTATCGAAAAACTAGAGATTTGTTTAAAAAAATGGGCTTATGAGAAACGGCTGTCTGATGATGTTAAAAACTAACAACAAAGATTTTTAAAGATATGCAATATCAATTTGGGTATTGGGTCTTTAAAAGTTACTGACGTCAATTTTTTAAGCCTATAAAATGGCTGAGCTTTTAAATTATTTATTCACTCTCTTTATCTATTTATTTTTTTATTTTAATATATTCGATGTAGTAAGTAGAAAGATTGAGAGATTAAGAAAAAATAAAGCACCAGGGCCAAGACAGTGTCTTTTCCAAACTATTAAAGGAGGTCAAAGATCAGATATGGTAATGTTACTCCTAAGGTAAGCGGTGCCCTAGAAATTATAGACCAGTTAACCTAACTTATTTACTAGAAGTATTCTAGAGACTGATACGCTTTAGTTAGTGTTGCTTATATGCGCCTCTCTAATAGAAAGAATTTCAATTCTGAAAACGCAACTACAGCGGCTCAGCGGTAAGTCAGGAGATTTATAATGATAAAAACTGAGTTTCGATACCTGTGGTGAGCACAGCACAAAGAGCCCATTGTGTAGCTTTATGCTTAACTACAAACATATAAACATATATGTCTGTACAGACATATCTTCGTAAGTGTAAATTATACTGCCTAAAAATGTCAACCTAACTATATATGATGACACCTGGCTTAGCATGGCTCAAGAATATTACTATTAACTACATTAGTTGAATTTATATGTACATTATTATATCTTACGTTAATACTAATATTGTTGTAGCTGTTATATGAAACAAGGACACCGCCGTGAGAGCTTGTGCTAGTATGTTATCAATCAAAATGTTCCTTTGCATAAACATAAAGGCAACAATAGCTGTGTAGCTTATGTAGTTTTGTGTGTGTCTCGTTGTATCAAGTTGATCTCATGTAAGATTTGTGTGTGTGCCCTATTGTATCTAGTTGAGCTTACGTAAGGTTTATGTGTGCCCTATTGTATCTAGTTGAGTTTACGTAAGGTTTATGTGTGTCTCGTTGTATCAAGTTGATCTCATGTAAGATTTGTGTGTGTACCTCATTGTATGTAGCTGAGCTTTTGTAAGGTTTATGTGTGATCCATTGTATCTAGTTAAGCTTACGTAATGTTTATGTGTGCCTCATTGTATCTAGTTGATCTCATGTAAAATTTGTGTGTGTGCCTCATTGTATCTAGCTGAGCTTTTGTAAGGTTTATGTGTGATCCATTGTATCTAGTTAAGCTTACGTAAGGTTTGTGTGTGATCCATTGTATCTAGCTGAGCTTTCGTAAGGTTTGTGTGTGATCCATTGTTATTGACTGAGCTTTCGTAAGGTTTGTGTGTGATCCATTGTATCTAGCTGAGCTTTCGTAAGGTTTATGTGTGATCCATTGTATCTAGCTGAGCTTTCGTAAGGTTTGTGTGTGATTCAATGTTATTAACTGAGCTTTCGTAAGGTTTGTGTGTGATTCAATGTTATTAACTGAGCTTTCGTAAAGTTTGTGTGTGATTCAATGTTATTAACTGAGCTTTCGTAAGGTTTGTGTGTGATCCATTGTTATTAATTGAGGTTACGTAAACTTTGTGTACGTTCTAGAGTGTAAGTAGGTAATAAAATTGATCAATATAATTTCTAATTTCAGAAGCAGGATTCTCCAAGACAACCATAGCTGATTAAACTTACTACCTTGGAAACACAAATACTCAGAACAAAATCAATCAATAAAGTTTCTGATTCTAAAAACTGAAATGTTAAAGATGGTTGTCTTTATAAATTAAATCTTTAACCGTGGAAACTGATATATCTATAACATGATATTCACGTATCACTGTTTTGTTTATAAAGGTTACAATCTTTTTTTTAGGTTAATAGCAGTCTCCAGTGTTACTACATAACACCAAAATGAGAAATGTATTTTCTCCTCCTACTAATAATCTCAAATTTTAGTGTATGTGTGTGTTTTTTTGTATAGTGAAAATTCAAAGTACTTTGATAAGTATTGCATGTTTTCTTAACACTAATCCTATGAGAGGTGCTGTATGGTTTCTTAAAACTAATCGATTGATAGGTGTTGCATGGTTTCCTAACACTAACCATGTGACATATGTTGCATGATATCTTAACACTAACCCTTGATAAGTATTGCATGTTTTCTTAACACTACCTATTTGATAAATGTTGCATTTGTTCTTACAAATAATTCTTTGATGGTTGTTGAAAGGTATCTTATCACTAACCATTTGATAAGTAATGGATAGTTTCTTAACAATAATTGTGTAATTGGTGCTGCATGATTTCTGAATACTAATCATTTGATAGGTGTTGCATGGTTTCTGAATACTAATCATTTGATAGGTGTTGCATGGTTTCTTAACACTAACCAGTTGATTCACTATTATCAGAGCATCATCTTTTCTCAATCACATTTCAATATATAGAGAGGAAAATAAATCTGGCTGATTAAGAATAAATACATGAGATGGACCTGATTACATAACAATGTAGAAAAAGAAATCCTTATTAATAAGTCATGTTAATAATAAATAGTCAAACTAATGTGAGACACAATAGCAGTAACAACGAGAATAGTAATTAAAAGCTTACGAGCCTTCAAGGTCCAAATTTTAAAGGTTTTGAGTAATAATAACTAAATCTGAAGGCGTGCCATATAAAATTTTAAACAAATACATTTTTCACGGAAACGAACTATTCTAAGTAGTGAAATATTCCAACAGTATGAATTTCAGATACACAGTTGCCTTTAAATATAACATTTTAAACTAACAAACTTTTCATGGAAACGAACAAGTCGAGATAGGGAAATGTTCCAACAGTATGAATTTCAGATACACAGTTGCCTTTAAATATAACATTTTAAACTAACAAACTTTTCATGGAAACGAACAAGTCGAGATAGGGAAATGTTCCAACAGTATGAATTTCAAAAACATTGATTATCCTTCAATATTTAGAGCATTACGTAACTAAGATTGTGCACGTTTTTCGCTCTTTAATGAGTATGCACAGAATTGAAGTAAATACGCACAGAAAATACTTCATCAGCTCGGTAACTTTTATATTTCAATGAGAAGGTTTCATTCGTATTTAAATATTAACATATGTATTGGTACACGAGTATATTCTCTTACACTAATGTTTCTTAATGTCTGAAGTACTTACGGCTTAAGGTTGTTTTCAGGAACGTCGAGAGCCAGCACTGGCCCTGGGGCAAACATCCTCGCCGGGCCCCCCTTTCTCTCTCTCTTTTTTAACATTTTCAAAAATTTATTAAAAAGAAGATCCTAAATTAGGACAGCAACGAGCTCATAAACCAGAAAAAATCATAGCAGCAGCCATTTTTACCTCCCAGTATAAGCGTAAAAACGTTAATAAAGTAACAACAAATATCTATTAAATCTATAAAGTAACAAATACATATTAATTATCACTCAAATTATTAGTTCAGTCATTCTTAATGTATCAAGCGTCTATATGCAGAGAAAAGCGGGCTTTACGACATAACCAGGTTTCATTCGTCCGGGCCCCTGGCCAGTTGCCCCTTTGCTCCTCCCCCCCCCCCCGTCGGCGGGCCTGGTTGTGTTGGTTTTGGCAAAATTAAAAGTACAGGTTTAATCAACTTGTTTAACTATAGGTCAATGTGGTCAACTATGGATTACTGTGATCAATTGTCAGTCGATGTGGTCAACTGTGAATTAATTTGATCAACTGTCGGTCGTTGTGTTCAACAATAATGGATCGATGTGGTCAAGTATGAGTGATACTGACTCGACATTCTGAACTCAAAACCAGTGTCTGCCCACCTGTACATTTTTAGTAAGTTGAATAACGCTAACGGTATATGTGAACATTCTATAGGTCATATGATTAAGTAAGCAATTCCGGAATCAGAGAAAAGCTTACCTGTTGTTCCATGTTGGCGGGTCACTGTTGTCGGTTGATCAAGGGTCAACATAGGCATACAATTTGAGACAGTCGACATTCCTGGCATCCTCGTCATCCCGTGGATTCCAGTGACACTGGGAATGAAAGCAGTTGACCCTAAGTACATACGGCTCGGGTCTGGGAAACATTGTGCCGAACTGGGCTGGGTGCCAAAACCTCTGGGTTGAAATGTGGGACACGCTGATCCAGTTACCGGTGTTGGTGCAGTCAGACTAACCGATGTGTGTCGGTTAGAAGACGGTGGATACTGTCTGTGGTTGTCAAGACCTAATAGTTCTTGGATGCCGAACGGGGTACGTTGGGTAGCGAAGCCGCCAAGTCCCGAACCGAGGGGCTGTGCCATCGGAGCAAGTGAAGTTATGTAAGGGTTTAGGGTGTTTGATGTGGATACGTGAATCGTGGGTCTTTCTCCCTGCAATAGATTCATAACAGAAACCATCTTGACTAGGTAGAGTTTACCGAAATCGGAAAATATTTTATGAAAACTGTTTATTGGTATGTATTTCGAATAAGAAAATACGCTTTGAAAGAAATTACTTTTTGGAGAGGTGAAAGTGTAGTCACACCCTAAACTAAACTGATTGATCTGCTACTCTTTGCTTATCAAAAGAGGTACTTAGTAACGAGGCTAAGCCAATTTATCCGACAACGTCACACAATACGGAATGTAAGTGATGAACGAACGATTTGAAATATATGTCTGTTATTTTCCTCAGGCTGTTAACGCTTGGCTAGAGGCGGATCTCTCAAAATAAACACCTCCCAGTAGTGACGTAACATGTGAGGTATTGGCCGTAGTTAAACTAGTGCGTAAGCGGGGATTGGGTGGTGCAAGACCTTGGATGTGGAGAGAAGCTAGGTTGTTTTAACCTCCTTATAATATATGCGATGCACAAAACATAAGAACTATTCCCAAACTAATATAACAAAGTTAGATTCTTATCACAAAACCAGCATAGTATATTTAACAAATTTTCAAAGATTATTTATTTTGTTGAAAGATGAGAGGACGCACAGAAATATATTTGGGTTTTAATTCGTTCTTCTCTATTTGCGAGAACTGTAACAAATTTGTGATCTCTCTGCCGTGGAATAATTAACCGAAGCCACTGTCTCTGAAATTTAAACCGCCTGCTGCGAAATTGATTGGCTCTAAGTAGGTAAGTGATTGGTTGATGGTGTCTCGAAGGTAGCGAATTACATACCTGTATATTACGGTGTCGTCCTCTAGGCGAGTCTCCTGGCAAATTAATTTTGATAACCACGCGCATCAGTTGAACAGGAACAGGATGTATATTGTAATAATTAACGAAACAAAGCTTTTATGGCATTTATCGTGATGCAGGATGTATGCAAGTAAAGTTTACATATCTGTTCGTACATACACCTTTTTTTTATTAATTGATAATTATAACGATGAAAAGATAAGAAAAATCTATAAATAACCAGAAATAGTTTGATTGATAAGTCGGTTGGTAGATAATACACTTACAAATTTGCTTGTAAATGTTACTGTAAAAATACTGGCAGCCAATTATCGTAAAATTACAACCTACCATAAAAACAACGTCATTGAGCTTCACGGTAAACTTTGTAGTAAAATTAATAAGTTTGTTATTTCAAAAAGTGCTATTGCTGTGGACATATATGTATACACCCACATAGTGCTGGAATTTAAATGACCAAGAACATATTATTAAGGGATTTGTGGGCTGGCTTATGGAAAAATATGGTATGATGCATTAAAGGAAACTGCTTACTTTACACCAGTAAAATAAGTATAATATGTGATTCTTGAATGTTGGAACAATTGGAGGTAAAATTGTTAGCAAATAAACAATATTTATAAAACTCTGCACCGAAAATAATTGAGTGTGAACCGAAACGATGACCACAACGGAAAAACTCGTCCATAATTCAAATAATATTTACAATTCCTTTCAGGTTCACCTGTTTCCACAAAAAAATTCCAATTAGTGCACAATCTAAAAAATTGTTTCGTTACTGATAACATGAATAATGATGTCTTGAATTTAACCAAACATAATCTCATATTGATATCTACTCAGTCATTGAAAAGCAGAAATCTGTTTAATAAATGTCAATACACTTTGACGTGTCTTTTTTTTTTTATCTTGAAATCTTCGATCGTATCTTAGGCTTGACGCAGGTAAAACACCTACAATTAAAAGGTAAACATGTATTTTAACATGTCTTCTCTATACCATAAAGCATGGCCAGGTGGATAAGGCGCTCGACTCACAATCTGAGGGTCGCGGGTTCGAATCCGCATACCACCAAACATGCTCGCCCTTTCAGCCGTGGG